AGTTAGAATATTTCCGTGTTAGAGGAACAGATAGATAAGACCTGATAACCGGCAACACATATCCCACGCTCCCTACGACACTTGCTACAAGAATACAACGTAGTATTAATTAAAATACAAGCAAGTTATCACTGTTTCCAGCATCGAAATCTTTATCGTCGCTATGACAGATAAGGGTAGTCGACAAATGATTTGATCCCGGTGCTTTAGATTTGAAGGTCTCCTCTACCACCTGTTAAATTTTGCTATTCGACGACATCCAGTCGCGAACTTACCGTCAAGAGCACAAGGCGTGAGGCATGCGTATCCACCACACCCTGCTCGTTACTGCGATCGCCCTCCTTGCTGTCCTGTCGGTTGAAGTCGATGCTGAATCAAGGACCCTTCGATCACTCAAGACGATAAAGGGCGAAGACGCGGCAGGAGAAGAGCGTGCTGGCATTCCTGCCATTCCTGCATTTACGCACACGTTCAACTTTAACGCGCTTGACGAAATCGGTTTCCTTATCAAGAACTTGCCGGAACAATTTCAGAGAATGAGGACTCAGCCTGAACGTCTACGAACCGTTCTCGGGGGGTGGTACGATGATCTCCAGTCCGTTAAACAGGTCGTCGCCTTCATGACGAAAGAGGGACTGAGTGAGAAGGCAATTGAAGAGTTTGTGGCAGCATATAAAGCCTATATTGCCTACGCACAGGCTCATGGCATTAAGCCGGCTGCTCTAACCTTACATACATGAAGGCTTACACAAGCCTCCTTTTGCTGACGTCTTTTGCAAGAAAGTTTGTTTCATGTTGGAGTTTGAGGAATGAACGTAGTCCATATGAATGCCAGCGATGGGCTTACCCCTCCACGTACCATGTGCGTTCGAGAAGCGGGGCTGGGCTTGGGCAGGACTTTGCTGAGCAGCGAGTAGCAGTAAGAGGTTGTCGTGATTCACGAATCATGACGCCGAGCTAAACGTCCGTGGTGTTTACTTCGAAGCAATAGAGTTATGATATCTGTCGATCATTGGTGTGTACTGTGGTGATCATACGGCGCCGTAAGTTTGTGGAGACATTATTCTCTTTTTTTTAGTTGCTGCTCGCAATGGAAGCTTGATCAGCTACGTTACTTTACCTAGAAGAGTAAATCCATCGTGCTGAAGATCAACATAAAGCGAAATGGTCTAGAATTTGGATCGACAGGAACCCCGATTGCCACGACGTTCTAACACTGGATACCTGTGAACAAATTGACCACTCAAGAGTACGCTTTCAATCTCCACTTTACAGACTGAAAACAACCGTGTGTTTACTCACAGTGCTTATCCGTCAGTTCCCAGACTTCATAATGTTATTACAGTAAATTCAAAAGTATTGGCTGTTGACAGACTAAAACTATCAGAAATAGTCGACTGGTGCTCAATCAAGCACATACAACATACTTCTGAAGTACAACCTGCAATATGGTTGCTGGGAATATTACAGGAGTATCTAGTTATGCCTGAAAGTATTGTATCCTTTGCATGTATAGCAAAAGTGTACTGGCTGGGAAAAGCTTGTTTTCGAGTAAATATTGGTGGATATGCGAGTAAGGGAACAGGATGGCGGTTGGTCGAGTAAGCATTTCGATGAGATTAAGTCCGAGTAGTTGTAGATGAACTGCGAGTAAATCAATATGTACTAAACGTTAAAAAAAAAACTGCTCATTCAGGAACTGCTGTGATGCCTAGGCCCCTAGAGTGACTGTGAGAAAGCTCTCGCGCCAGCTCCTCCACCTCCATCGAGAAAACCTTTCCGTCAGAAATCGCACAGGCCAAGCGTACCAGCCATCATTTTCTTGCCAAGATGTAACCCTCCCCACCAAGTATGCTGGAGTACCGGTGCTGGCACCACTCAGTTCGAAGTGCTGCATGTATCACAAACCAAAGCACCTCGCTGTTTTGGCTGTCTACCAGGTAAACGACGCACCAGCAGCGCCCGTAAGGCTTCGTTCAGGTTCATCTTGCCCAGAACCGACATTGCAACAAGAACATGGTCGCAGATCCAGCCATTTTGGCGGTGCGTCTTGGAGTCGAGGCGACTTGCCCCGCTAGATTAGTGACTTTTTAAAGTCCGCCAGTACTGACGCTTGACTGGAAGCCGCCCTTGGAACGCATGCACCTCGGTGCTGCTAACCACACCAAGTAGAACTATCACGGGGCCGATGCAAAATAAGCAAAGTGCTAGTCAGTTAATTTTTTATTTTTATAAGCGCACTCTTAGCGCAAATACCAGGAGCGTGGACGACAAATTGCGACAAATAAATAGGCCAAACTTTACCTTCGAAACAACTTGAAGTGACGGAAATTACGAGATGGTGTCATACAATACATGTGATTTTTTTCCTTATTTTAGCGCGCCAGTTACCGATTCAGTTATGTATCCATTGAACTGCTAAGTAGTCGTTAGGTTATGGGCGTTACAGTGTGTCCAGGTATCCGTTTACAAAAACTTTACTCGACTTTCCTCCGTTTTACTATCTTACTCGGCCACGTCTTACTCGAATTAAATCCGCACCACTACTGGCTTGGGCTAAAGTACTGACTACATATGTAACTTTCCTCGATGGAGAGTCTGTATTCCAGTAAATCGAGTGACAGCAAGGATCAAAATGCCATCTCTCTCACCACCACACTATCAATCCAGTCTGAAATTTACTTCATCCACTATCAGCGCTCTACCTATCCACTGACAGTGGAGGTTAACTGGAATTGATGTCCCTCCTGGCAGTACGAGCTGGCAAGGCTACCTTCCTCGTATACCCAAATATCACCAACACTACCTGAGGCGAATGAATTGATTGTTTGAGCAGATGCTTCACAGGGGAGCTGGTGTTCTCCTTTCCAGTGTCTAAGATGCGTTTGTCCATAGTTTCTAGTATGTATTTACTGGAAGTCACTGCGAGGTAATCGTAAGCAAT